TGGGACAGAGCCTGCCTTTCTATCAAGCTTCTGGTGATGGGATGTCGCTTGTCTCATCCACAATTTGAGTAGCAAGAGGTTAGCTTTTCTATTTACTGCCTTTATATCCGCAGTTGGGCTATGTCATTTTATCAAAACAATGTGGTAAGAGTGAGCGCCAATTACTAGCCTGTTGAATCATCTATTGTTAGAGCTGTTTCTTTTGGGTACATTTAAGAGTCCCCTCCCTGTGGTTTCCCATTGCACAAGAAGCCCATTTGCCAGGCAATACCTTGGGCAAGCAAGCTACTGTGCAAAATGGCATTGCCTCTTCCTGCTGCCAGCCAGGCGGCTGCTGGTTGACAGTGGAGTTGTACAGTTTATGTGATAGTGATGACAGCGCTGACTCTGAAGGGTACTGAAGATTCTGAAGGGGCACTTCGCTGCAGCAGCTTCACCTCCCACTTTGTTTTACCCACCCCCCAGGCTTGTGGGAGAGAAGGATCAGGCAGAGCTCTGCACATGCCACGCCAGGGGTGGGGGAATTATTTTTTTTGTTTTTTGCTTTCTCTGCTACAGGACATACCATGCCTTTTACAGATATTTATAGGACAATTTCCCCCCTGAGCATGCCCAAGCATGGGGGATGGTGAGGAAGATGACTGAAGGGAGGAAGCAGGAAAAGGGGGTGCCTGCAGGTATGAGGATTGGAAGGTGGGGAAAACCCCTCATGCTTGGTTCAGCCTTCAAGGAAAAAGAGGGGTTGACTAGATTACAGATGTTAAACCAGGGGTCTGTGGTTCAGACCAGCAGCTCTCTGCACTTGTAAGCTATATTTGGCTGGTGTGTTCATTTGTCTAGGGTAAGAGCCCCTAGATTTCAACAGATTCTCACAGAGTCAATGATAACACAAAAGGTTAATCAGCTCCATTTCCAATCAGGATCACCTGCAAGTTCCTCCCAGAGCAGATATTTGGAGCACTAGGCTTCTAGAAGCAGCAGACATCAAGTTCGGGCCATGGGATTAGGGTGGACAGGGCAGCCATTTGGAATCATTTTCTACCAGAGGCAGAAGAGGCTCAGCCAACAACAGCCCCATTTTACACGGCAGAAGCCGAGCTGCAGTCAATTCAGTGATTCCTCCTAAAGTAGGGAGTCAGAAGCTGAGCCTGGACTGGAACCTAGGCCTCCTAGCAGACAGAGCGCAGGTCTACACTGGGGAAAACCCCTTAATTCTGGCAGTTGCCTGGAAAGAGCAAGACATTTATGGCCAGAGCGCCAGGAGCCCAGCTGGTTATTTCTAGCTTGCTGAATGTCAAAAATCCAGGCCGCTTCTCAAAGCAGCCTCTACTTGTCAGACCAAATCAAGGCATCAGCGCGTCAAGCAGGCGAATCCTCTGCCCCCGGCACCAGCCTGGGGGCGCACGCCCTGCCTCCGCCCCGCCCCGCACGGCGCACCTGACCGGTTCCCGCGGTGCGCCTGACCGCGGGCGGGCGAGCGCTGCACCCACGCATCCGGACGCCACTCCCACCTGCACCCCGGCGTCACGCCTGAGTGCAACCTGCAGCCTTCACCCACCTGGGCGGCTGCCTGGCTTTGCTCAGGGTTGGAGCCAGCTCGGCAGCCTGCCTTGGCCAAGTGTGACCAGGGAGCTGGTCTTTGACCCTAGCGGCAGATTGGGCATGACAATCTGGTCTCTTGTGGAATCTCCCACTTTCACCTTCTTTTCTTCTTAGCAAAACTCCCACCCCAGCCTCTACCCCAATTCCTCGATAGATCTAAATCAATGGGCATGTTGGTACCTCTGCAGAATCAATCCAGTTTTACAGGAACAAAAACGAACCCCAGTCCTGAGTGTCTGTTGGTTTCCCGTCCCAACTTCTGTTCATTCAGCAAACATGGGAGCATCTACTGGCTGGGTTTGGACACAACAGACTGACCTTTACCCCAGGGAACTGGCAGCCCCCGGGGAAAAGAGAAGCGGATGCTTTTAGGCTGTAATGTAATGGTCGCATGGGAATTTGCTAGGGGACATGGGGGCAGGGAATGAGCATTGTAGGCAGAGAGGACAGAGGCTGGTGACAGAACATGGCAGGCGGTAGGATCTGCAGGAAGGCAAGGTGGCCGGTGGGCACAGACAGATGAGGGCAAGTAGCAGTGATGGGCTGAGGAGGAGCCAGGACTCAGCCAGAGAAAGGAGCATTGACTTCATCCTGAGAACAATGCAGGGCCTTGGAAGGTCTAAACAGGGAAGTGACGGATCCAATTTGCTTTCTTAGGTGGGACTGGAGAGCAGAAGTCCTGTAAGTCCCAGCACAGGGGCAGCAAGCGGCAGCATCGCTGAAAGTAGCAGCATTTTCAAGGACATGGGTCATGTTCTCCCACTTGGGGATCAAATTAACTAAGTTTTCTTCTATTTCCACCTGCACACTGCTGCCTTATTCCTATCCCTGGCCCCACTGTGAGTGGTTTGGCCTTCTGCCTCCATTGGCCCTTAACTAGCCTTTAGGTAAGATGCTAGGTTGACCAGGGGTCCAGAAACAAATGACTGGATAAAGAAAACATGGGGGGGTGTGTGTGTGTATTTAACAATGGAATACGACTCAGCCATAAAAAAGAATCAAATTCTATCATGCAGTCCTGTGCAGCAACATGGGTAGAATGGAGGGACACTATGTTGAATGAAATAACCAGGAAGGCAAAGTTAACCACTATATGTTCTTACATGTGGAAGCTAATAAAACCAGTTGATCTCATAGAAGTAAACAGTAGCACAGAGGACACTGGAGGCTGGGAAGGGATGAATAGGGAGAGATTTGTTAAAGTCAACACAATTACAGCTAGATAGGAAGAATAAGCTGTACTGTTCTATACCACTGTGGGATGATTATCTATATATTTGAATATAATTTCAAATAGCTAGGAGGAGGATATTGAACGTTTCCAACACAAAGAAATGATAAATGTTTGAGATAATGGATATGCCAATTACCCTGACCTACTGTACATGATACATATCAAAACTTCACTATGTACCCCATAAGTATGTACAATTATTATTTGTCAATTTAAAAATTATTTTAAAAGATGCTAGGTTGACTGTACTCCCAATCCACCAACCTATTTTCAACCATCCATTTGCTCATTGACTCAATAACAATTTCTAAAGTGTTGCTGTGTGCCAGGTGCTGAGTTAGTCATTGTGGAATACAGAATGCGATACTCATACGTTTCCTGATCTCAGAGAGCTTAGAATTTATCCAATGTCCAAACTTGCCAGTGCATCAGAATCATCTATAAAGATTTAGAAAAAGATAGCCAATTGAGCTTCACCCCAGTCTGACTGAATCAGAATGTTTCCGGGTAAGTTCCAGGAAGCCATATTATTAAAATTCTCCTCCAGGTAATTTTGTTGAGCAGTCAGAATCTCTGATCCCTACAGGAATGCCAAACTGGAATTTCTCTGGTGACCTTTCCTCTACATAGTTGAACAGACCCAGAGTCTGGCTCCTGACCATAAGACAGAGAAATCACCAGAGAAGACGGGGCAACCGCAGTCCAACTGAGCTGTAAGCCTGGGAACTGCTCGCTCACCTTCAAAAAAGCAGGAGGGGCAGGTGGGATGGGTAAATGTAAGGAAAGAGAAGAATGTACTGGGACGGCGGGCTGGGTTGTGCATGCCTAGAGTGGAAGATGCCTCTCTATGTAAATTATATAAATTGTCCATTTAGAAAGCAGAAGACCAGTTCTCTGGCTTGTTGAAACACACATTCCTTCTTTCTCAGCCACGCCTTGATTACTATGGCCAAGTAGGGATGACTGTGCTGGCCAATTTCAAATGGTGGCCCTGATGAATAATAACAAATACTTTCCAAGCGCTTTATACACAGACCCATGTCCCCACCAATTAAGTCTGAGTACTAGGGCAAATTGAAGCAAAGGGTGGTGGGGGGTGATCCTGTTAGCTTGCTGTCCTCAGAAATAACCTCTCCAAGGGACTCTAAAAAGCAGAGATTCTGTTGGATCATGCCTGGGAAACAGGTCTTCTTGGAGTTTGAGAGGATTAAAATTTTAGTTCCAGTTAACTTTCTGTCTCTTGGTGAAGACGGCTCCAAGAAATCTAATGGTAAAGTATTTACTTGTTGACAGCTAATGATGAGCCAGCTACTGTGATGCCTTAAACATAAATATACTTCCAATCTTCCTGGGAAGATAAGATACAGTTATATGTAAAAGTAAATAAACATAAGACTTATTTCCAGACAACACTAGGAGAGACAGTTTTGTGGGTATCTGAGGTTCTGTATCCTGAAAGCTTATCTGAGCAGTACGTATTTGAGAGCAAAATACTCTGGGTGCCATACACACATGTAAGACATCATCTTTGTCCTCAGGAAGCTTACCATCTGATAGAAAAGACAGGACACATAAGTACATAACATAAAGAAAATAGTATAGGCTAGGCCAGGCACAGTGGCTCCTGCCTATAATCCAGCACTTTGGGAGGCTGAGGTGGTGGATCACTTGAAGTTAGGAATTCAAGGCCAGCCTGGCCAACATGGCGAAACCCTGTCTCTACCAAAAAATACAAAAATTAGCTGGATGTTGTGGTGGGTGCCTGTAGTCCTAGCTACTCGGGAGGCTGAGGTGGGAGAATCGCTTGAACCCAGGAGGCAGAGGTTTCAGTGAGTCAAGATCATGCCACTCCATCAACCCTGGGTGACAGGGTAAGACGCTGTCTGAAAAAATTAAAAAATAAAAAAAAAAAGTATAGGCTGGGATAAGTGAGTGATTCAGTGGTAGCTTTAGTGTCAATAGAACTTGCACTGAAATATTCAACTTTTTTCCCACAGCCCTGGACAACTTTCAGGAAGACAGTTCTGATCTGTAGCAATTAACACATGGTCATCCTCAGAAAAAGGCTAAGGAGGGTGCCACTTGACCTAACAGAATCTTACATGTGCCAATAATGTGAAGGCTCGATGGGTGTTTGTACTTAGTCCTCTCTATTATTTCCCAGAGATACCCAGAGCTTAAAATGCAGACACCAAGAGCTTTGAGCCTAGACATTTGGATGAAAAGTGATTTCCACCTGGAGAAAGTCATTGCCCTTCTGTGCAGAGGTAGGTGCCCTGATACTTGCCTGACAGCTGGAAAGGGTGGCTCAGAAGAGGTAGGCGGGAGAAGAGGCCACATAGTATCTCCCTGGGCCTCCTGGTGAAAAACTTGTGTGTGTTTTTTCAGGCCTGACCATAAACTCAGGGAAAGTTGACCCCTACACCAGACCTGGGGCGCAGCCCATGCGTGGCAGTCTCTGGAGGGAGATTTCAAGGTCTCAGGTCTCTCTGGCTGGTCATAGTCATCACATGTTTGCATTCCTAGCCCCTGAGCCTTCATTCCTGGGTTCATTAGAAGCCTTGGGGAGAGGTGTTCTTTAGGCGCCTCTGCTGAGGCCTCCTTTGGGTGGGGCAGGGAAGGGAGAGAAACCTTGAAGTCACTTTTCCCCACAATGACTCAGAACTTAGTACTTCCACTCCTAGCCTTCCCGGTCCCTTGCTCTTGGCCCCAGAGTCCATACAACTTCCAGAGCCTTTTGTTCAGGGCCCTGTCAGCAGTGAGACCACCCCAAGCCCACATTCCCGCTGACCTGCTTGACCCTGGGCCCCTGTGTGTTCCACGGGGGAAATGGAACGGGGAGAGGCCACGCTTTCTCTGGTTTCAGATACTTGCTTATACCATTGCAGGACATGATTGAAAGCTTGATTCTTTTGTTTTGGGCTTGTTGCCTTAATTGACTATTGTGACACCTGGCAGCTCCCTCTCCCAGTTCAACTGAGTTCCTGACAGAGGGACTCCGCCTTCAACCCGCCAGGGGCAAACACTCAAAGGATGGGCTTCATTACTGTTGCGGGCTCTGGCTTCTCCTCCTATGTTTCTAATTCATTTCTAGATTCAATCTCTCCCACTCCATATCGCACATTCACAAACATTAACTGCCCGAGGACCAGGAGAAGCACAGGGCCTGCCTCGTTATTCCTCCCTTGCATGCTGACTCTTCCACGGGGGCTGGGCAGAGTCAGCACACGCAGGAGGGGAATCATGAGCCAGGCCCTGGCCGGATCCAGATTTCTAGACATGAGAACTACCCAAATCCCAGAGACCCAGTTCTTCCATCTACTTTACTGAGGAGGAACCGGGGAGTCTGAGAAGTGACTTGGCCAAGGTCACCCAACTGGAACCCAGGTCCTAAGCCTTGGGTTTGAACTCGGATCATGACCACACTGCCTCCTTGAATCTTCTTTCTACTTTCCTGGTAGTTTCTGTGCAGAGCTGAGTCCTTGGGTGCCCAGGACTACACTAAGCCCTCTCAAGTCAGTACCTTCTAGGAGGCGGTAGCCTAACTGGAGAGAGAGGTGAGGCCAGGGGTTCCCAGACTTGAGCAGGCATTGGAATCAGCTGGTGGGCTAGTTAAAACACAGATCTGCTGGCCCCATCCCAGGGCTGCTGATTCAGTAGGCCCGGGATGGGGGTCTGAGAATTTATACTTCTAACAAGTTTCCAGGTGTGGCTGATGAGAACCACTGGGCTTAACCATAAACAACCCAAAGTAACAGAGGCAGTGAATGGAAACTGAGCAAAGGCAGGCAGAGAAAGGAGAGGAATGAGGGTGACATTGTTTCTCAGGGGAGGAAATGAGCTCCAGGGGCTGGTCCCTGGGAGGTCCTTCTCTTCCCTCTACCTTCATTTACCCTGACTTCGGGTTTATCTAGAAGTTTCACAGTAGCATATAAATTCCCCCTCTCTGCTGGAGGGCTCTGGCCAACAGGTGAAGCCAAAACCATCACCTGTAGGAGGTTGCTTAGAGCTGGCTCCTGTCCCAACACCCTCCTCTCGGCTTCCCTGTTCACATTGCTGCAGCCTGCACAGCTGCCTGCCTCCCATGGAGCCTGGGGGCACCTGTCCTAAAGGCCTCGAGGATGAAGAGTCGAGGAGGGTGGTTGTGGTGATCTCACCCACCTCTCCCTTGATTCCTCCATGTACTCACACAAGCCCTGGAAGGCCAAGGACACTGACGCTCAGAGAAAGCTAAGGGAGTGGGTACATTACAAAAGGATTGGGAGAGGGGGAGTGGTAAAAACTCCACAGCTCACATTCATTGACTCAGCTCATCTTTCAAGGTCCCAGTTCTCCTGAGTCATCAGTGAGCATGGACTTGCTTCAGAGTCACTAAGGCTGAATGTGGGTCATTGGGATCTAAACTGGTGTTTAAACGTAACCGCACAGAGGTGAGTCAGACACACACACACACACACACAGAAAAAGAGCAAAAGAGAGAAAGAAGAAAGAAGGAGATTTAGCTCTCTCAAGTGGGGGTGAAAATCCAGGAGCGAATCTGAAATGATCCACCTCTCCAAATCCATCCACTGTTTAATTAGCTCCATGTAGCTATAGGGAAATTGAGGCATAACTGCTGTGTCCAGTAGCCCAAAGTCGTTCCAGGGACAGCAGCAACCTCAGGAGGAGGCCAGAGATTGGCCAATGGAAAGGCAGAAAGCAGAGACTCTCCACCCAGGCGGAGGCACCAGAGGGCCCATGGAGGGAATGGACAGCTGGCGTTATGGTCCCCCTACGTTTTCCCAAGACTCTTCCAGCTGTCTAATGGCCTACTGAGGCTGCTCCTTGACCTTGAGTACAAATGGCCCTCATACCCAAACAGCCACCTGACCAGAGCCAACCGACAACCTCCGTGAGCTTCTCAGCCCCAGGCTGGCTCTGCAGGTAAGAGACAGACGTTATGTTGAGGCCAATGTAACCCGTGCCAACCAGCGTGTAGAGATTTCTACCTAGTTTTATTGTTGTGAACTCCAGACAAGAGACTTAGAAACGATGTATGATTTTCTACATCAAAAGCCTGAGTCTGAGGCTTAGGGGTCTGTCTTCCCTTTTCCAATTCCCTTTGTGTGGTGCGGGGTGTGGGGTGGGGCAGAATGGAGAATCGGCTATGGAGTCCCCATCTCTAGTCCCTTCCAGAACAGCCTGTATATGGCTAGTGGGCATTTCCCTTCCTGGAGGGGAGGTGGGGGAGGCCCTAGACGTGCTTCCTGGAGCCACAAGGAAAGGGGAGGCTGCTGATTCACCAGCAGCTGCTTCCTGGAATGGCAGTTCCGGGCTGGCAGGCGAACAGTATTTTTCCAAGGTGATCTAGGGCTGTTACAACATTCCCGCTCTGCCCCCATCAGACCTTCCTGTAAGTCAAACCAGAAAGTTACCCAGACCACACATTCCTGAGCAGTCAAGCACAGGATTCCAGAAACAGTGTTTCCAACATGTCTCGCTATCTCTCCTGGGACCTGGGATCCAGTCATCCCCGCAGAACTTGTGCTTCCTCAGCCAAGGCCATGCGTTTGTCGCGCTGGCCATGGAATCTGGAAGCTGCTGTGTGGCTCCAAGTCAGCTGGGACGGGAAGGCCTGCCCTGATTCCCCTGACGGATGGCCAGCTGAGAAAGAGCAGAGCCCTGAGCTAGCTTTGTCCCCACATTTCACAAAGCCACTTTCTCTGGTCCTGCCCAGCTTTCTGAGACAGAAAGCTACCATATCCCAGATTGAATCAGTGTTTTTTCTTTTTTACCCCCAGAAATAAGGCACAGGTTTGGAAGTGTCTCTGTTTGACCCTGGTGTTTGGTTCTCTCCCTCACATACAGGGAACATGAAGGAGAACCCATCTCTGCTGCTTTTGAAGTGCAGTGGCTTTCACTTGGAATGGAAATCTTTACAGGTGGCACCGGGGGCTGTGCAGAGACGACCAGGGAGAAATTCCGGACTTCTCATGTTCTGCCTCTGAACAGACTGTGGTGGGAAACACAAACAATACAAATCCTTGGTTCCATTTTCCTCATCCCTTCCTGGCAAATGAAATCAAATGAGGGTGAGGGTGACTGGGGAATAAAGCAGGGGGAGTGAAGAGATGGGGGCCTGCTCTTAGAAGCAGGGTCTGAACTCCACCTGCTCCGGGATGAACTGGAAAGTGCTTCTTCTCCTCCCTTCCTTGTCTGATGGCTATGGGAACTTTAGATGGGGAAATACTGATACACTGATCTCTCAACCAAATATAATTTGTATTAAGAATTAAGAGTTCACAAGTTATTCTCTGTCTCTCTCTCTTTTTTTTTTTTAAAGAAACAGCCTTGCCCTGCCGCCCGGGCTGGAGTGCAATGGTGTTATCATAGCTCACTGCAGCCTCAAAATCCTGGGCTTAAGTGATCCTCCCACCTCAGCCTCCCAAGTAGCTAGTACTACAGGCGCACACCACCATACCTGACCAATTTTTCTATTTTCTGAAGAGATGAGGTTTTGCTGTGTTGACTAGGCTGATGTCAAATTCTTGGCCTAACACGATTTTCTCCCTGGGCCTCCCAAAGTGCTGGGATTAAAAGGAGTGTGAACCAATGCACCCAGCCAACTTATCCTTTTTTATCTTCATCACAATCTTATGAGGTGGGTATGGTTATTAGTATTGTCATTTAATAGAGGTAGAGAACAAGGATTGGGAGTGTTTAACAGCCGGCCCAGGATGAATGCATCAAGTTTCAAATCCATGTCTCCTGATTCCAAGTCCGTATTTCTCACAGTCCACATTATATACTCAGCAGATGGTGTTGACAGGTTCTCCGAATCCAGGAGGCAGCTCTGAGCCTCAGGAAGTAAGCTGCTAGAATCCCAGTTAGGGTCCTAATATTCTAAGAGATACAGACCTAACAGAGAAGTGTGCTGTGCCTGTGGCTTTGTGGCAGGGTTTGTCTACAATAAGCACATGTGGTGTTCACAGGGCTTAACTCACGGCTGTAACAGGAGCTTCAGAACGGACAGGGCAAACAGTCCTCTTCAGTAAGTACTGCTGGCCATGTCTTACCCTCTCAGATAAATTGCAAAAGCTTTTTAAACTCTCTCCCTCCCACCCCTTATTATAGAACCATTTCTCAAAGCTTAATTCAATACTTTATTTCTGCTTTCCAACAGTTATACACCTTATCTCTAAGAATAACCATTTTTAATGCCTTTGATTTTTCCCACTGAGCTCTTTGCCCCACGATTGTCCAGTAGCTGGGAATGGAGACTGACTCTGCACTTTCCATTACCTGGTAAACAGCGATCCTTCCTCCTCCCCGACCCCACACTCCCGGAACCCTGACTTGGTTCTCTATCCTTGTCCTTCAGGAGAGAATGAACCTCTCTCCAGCCCCCGGGGGCTAGGGTTTTGTCCGAGACTTCGACTCTCAGCCATTGGTTTGGTATTCTGACTGCGCACTGGAACCATCTAGGGGGCTTTAAAAATCCCACTAAGGCCAACAGGGGCTCCAGGGCTCCCTCAGGAGCTGTGGCTTGGCTCTCATTTTTCCCTTGCCAAGTGATTGGCGTTAGGGATGGTCATGTGACGCTAAACTGGCCAATAGCGTATGAGGACGCGAGGCTGTGAAGCGTCTGGGAATATTTTCCACAGCTAAAAGCAAAAAGCTGAAATTCAGGCCTGTTTTCTTTTTCTCCCTGGAAGTTGTTCTCTATGTGCCCCAAGGGAAGGAGCTTAATTTAGTTAGCAATCTACGGACATCACCTCATTTGATCCTCACACTACCCTTTGAGGTAGTTAATATTTTGGTTTTAGTTATTAATTTACCAACAAGGAAACTAAAATTTCTTACTTTTACAGACAAGGAAACTAAGGTTCACAGAAGTTTCAGTATCTCCAAAATATATCCCTTTCAATGATAACAGCTGAGCAGAGTCAGGGTGAACTTGGTCCTGCCTGGTTCCAAAGACCATGATTTTCTCACTATCTCCCTATTTGCAAGGTTGTGCTGGTAAGCTGTCTAAATAATAAAACTAATAAAAGGCGTGGCCAGCTGCAGTGGCTCATGCCTGTAATCCCAGCACTTTGGGAGGCCCAGGTAAGAAGGATCGCTTGAGGCTAAGAGTTCAAGACCAGCCTAAGTTGATAGCAGTAACTCATCTCTACAAAAGTTGAAAAAAAAAATTAGCTGGGCATAGTGCAGGAGCCTGTAGTCCCAGCTACTCAGGAGGCTGAGGTGTGAGGATCACTTGAGTCCAGGAAATCCGGGACTTTGAGGCTACATTGAGCTAAGCTCACACCACTGCACTCCAGCCTAGGCAACACAGTGAGACCCAGTCTCAAAAAAAAAAAAAAAAAAAAAAAAAGTCCTAACTTTTAGCACTTACCAATTTCCATGGTGTAAATATTCCCACAATAACCAATAACCAATTTTAAGCTACCATTGTGAGCTCTCCGAGCACTAACTTGAAAGAGATGTGCACAATCAGCTCTCATAAGCCAGTGTGATCCAGCTCCAGCCAACAACTGGAAAAGGGGGCAAGTGCTCAAACCTGGTCTTTGACGCTAAAACCATGTTTTCCTTCATCCCCTTACCAGGGCTTTCTCTGAACACACACCTCCCCAGAGCAGATCTTTACACTGGCATTCTGCATTGTTAAGAAAGGTGCTTAGCTCTAGTTCCTAGAAGGCAGAATAAGGATAATGAGGGACAAATCAGTAGGGGTGAACTTCAGAGGCTTCCTAATGCCTCCAGGATGCTAATGATGCAAGCAGGAGCCCCAGAGGACTACTTATCATTCTGCATGAAAGCGGGCCAAGAGAACCCTTGCCATTCGTTTGATCTTGTTGCCATCTGAGCTGCTGTGCCTTTTGTACACCCTGCTGAGCCCCTAGCAATGCTGTGCACAGATTCATGACTGTGTGGTACAGTGAGAGCAGCAGGGGCCTGGGCATGTGGCCAGTGGAAACATGATGGTGAGCCAACTCAGGACTGCCCCAGTGGGCCCCCTAGGGCAAACACCACAATAATAGTGTGCTTGCTAAGCCCATTCCACACTGTGGTACGCCAGCCTCTCAGGGTTGGGAGAGCCCTCAGGTCCAGGTCCATCATCCCCACCGAGGGTTGCAGACTGAAGATGTCCAGTGATCTTCCCTCCGAAGGAAGTCTATTACATATTTAGGGACCTTGGTGGAAAAGTTCATATTTATGCTATTCCATAACAAATTCAGTAACTCCTGCTGCAGCCTGAGGTGCTCCTAGTTCTAACCCTGGGAGCCATATGTTGCCAGACTAGTCCCTCCATACATGGCACACATATCAGTCAGGATAGGCTAGGTTATGCTGCAGGGACAAACACCGATCATAATCTCAGTGGCATGAAACAGCAGTAATAAAAACCATAACAGCAACTAGTATTTCTTGCTCATTCAAAATGTCCATTGAGGGTAAGCTAAGGATCCTATTCATGTTAATCACTCAGGGACCCAGGCTGTCAGAGCCCAGCCACCACCTCTCATCATTGCCGTTCACTGGAAGAGAAAGAGTGTCTCACCAGCACTGAAATGTTCTGGCTTGCAAGTACTATACACCATTCTGCGCTGGACTTGTTAGCTAGAATTATTCATATGACCTCACCTGTCTGTGCTCAGGAGGCAGAGAGCTGGAAATAGTTGGGAAGCAAAAATACTAACTATCACATTAGCTTTTCACATATTTGAAGGTGGTTATGCTGCCCACTTGCCTTTTCTCCAGAGACTCACCCATTACCTCCTCACTTGCTGTGCTACATGTTTCTGCTCCCTTCATCACTCAGTTCACTCTCCCCTGAACATGATCCAGCTTTGTATCTCTCTGTGGTGGTATCTAGAGCTGAGTTCAGTTTTCTAGGCATAGCCTAACCATGGCAAAGCTCAGTGGAGTTCATCCTTCCCCATATCTGAGACATCACACTCATAATCCTTGAGGCTAAGATTGCATTTTATATTTTTTTGGCAGCCACAGCACCATTGTGTATTTGCTAGATTCTAAGCCCCAGAATGGTAGGCGCTATGACTTCCTTGCTCATTGTTCTGGCCCTATCACTTGGAAAAAGGTCTGATAAATCCTAATATTTGTCAGATGAATAACTATATTGAATTTATTCTCTTTGCCTCTGCCTAATTTTCACTCATGCTGTCAAGACCTATTGTCTCCATCTCATCCCGATATAATGAGCTTTTTCAGACCCAAGTACAGTTTATTTCTTCAATTTGTTCTGGCATACAGCTATGAAAGAGTGTTATCTTTGGAGTCAAAAAGTGTGTGTGTGACACCCAGCTCTGATTTTATCATTCAACAACATATATGTCTTAAGCACCTACAATATGCCAGGTGCCATGGATACAGTTATGAAGAAGACAGACCACAGGGCTGCCTTACCACTTGGTTAATTTGGGTAAACAATATAACATGTCTTGATTAGAATGTAAATTCCATGAATGCAGGGATCTCTGGCTGTCTTTTTCACTCTAGTTTTTCCAGCAACCACAATATGCCTGAAATATAATAGGTGCTCAATAAATATTAGTTTAATGAATGACTGACTCTCTAAACTCATGTGCTCTTCTATATCAGAATCTTCTGGGAGGGCACGAGTAGCCTGAAAACAAAGTAGCCCTTTGTCCCTGTTTGATTTTTGTGTTTAGTCATAATGTTAATGGTATGAAATCTCAAATAGGATTAATGTAAGACTTGAAATTTGTCTGTTAATCCAATGGGAACAGGGGTTATGCAAGGTTGCAGAACCACTATTCCAGACGGACACTTAATCTATTAATCGCCACATTTTCGGTATCATTGTGTCTTGAATACAGCTTGGCCACAAGGAAATGGGGTGAGACTTTGTCATGTATGTCACTGAAGTTCAGCTATGCAAAAACGTTCATCTATCCTTGATCGACCAGTCCAGGAACCATCAGAGAAGAAAATGAGATTTGACTGTAAGACCTGTTCTTTATAAACCCCTGCACAGCCCTAATGATCAACACCACTTCCAGTGCTCATAAATTACTGCTTCAATAATTGTTCTGCAATTCTGCCTATTCTCATTGAATGCTTTGTATAATCCCTTTATCTACTTTGGGCTACAATTCATTTTTATCAGTGAGTATTGTACTTGTTTCATCTCAAAAATCATTCTCCTTGAGAAAAAAAAAAGAACGGAGTTGAGGAATCCTGCTTTCTCTTTCATCCACATATCCTCTATTATCAGAAGGGGGCTTATACTTCTTGTGAACTTCTTGTGCTGATTTTAACTTTA